CCCTCCCCCTCCTTCTTTTTTTTTAATTCTGGCCAGACCTAAACATGCTTTTCTAGTCAGTCGCTAATACTTTGGGCTTCCTTACTCCTTTCCTAAAGTCTCCCTCCGCTGCCTGCTGCCAGGCGGCTGACTCACATGCAGCCTTCTCTTCTTCATTCTCCACCTCCTCTGAGCAACTTCAAGATTCACAGCTTGTCTGCCCTGAGGTTTTTTTCTTTTAAATTCTAATAAATTATTCTCAAGGTTCCATGTAAGTCTATTCTTTTTTTTTTTTTTCATTAATGAGACAACAAACCCCAAGAGGGGACTCCAGTTTCCCCAGTATCACATGGTGATTCTGCAGGGACTCCACAAGATTTCCAGTAACATTTCTTTCCTGCCTTTTAATTCTTTAATTGGCAGAGAAAAATTCATGCATTCCTAGATGGCTTCAACATGACAGTCACCATCTGTATCTTCAGTCTCCCTCACATTTATTGACTGCCTGTTCTGTGCCCCCTACATGCCTCCAAATAGAGTACACTGCCCTAGGGGAGATGTAGTCATTTGGGCAGTCAAAGTCAGTGGCATCATTTCATACACTGCATCAAGGGGACTTCACCTCTTCCGCTCAGCTGGTTTCTAGCATAGTTTCCAGCCCTTTGCCTCCTTTCAAAGGCCTCCTTGAGGCTTCAGACTGACACTGAAGCTGGTGGCTGTTTCTCCCCACACCCAGGGAAGCAGGCAAATACAGAGTTGGTCATACCAGAGGTAAGAGATGAAAAGCTTGGGAGGGAGCCAGGCGTGGTGGCTCTTCCCCGTTATCTCAGCATTTGAGAAGTGGAAGTAGAAGGCTCGGGAGGCCAAGGCTTGCCTCAGCTCTATAGTAAGGCCATCCTGTCTCAGAAAACAAACAAAAAATATTTGGGAAGTCACCCTTCACAGGAAAAAAATGTTTGCTGGAGATGGGCTGGAAACTGTAAGGATGCAGAGTTGCCTAAACTGTCTAGACCTCAGTCCTGGCCCTCCAGGCCACTTGGCTTCTGAAGGACAAGAGAGCATGGAGATCCTTTATGATCAATGTCAGCCCAAATTTATAATCCCAGCCCTTAGGCAGGAGGATCGGAAATTCAAGTTCATGCTTGGCTACATAGAGAGTTCAAGTCTAGTCTGGGCTACAAAACAAAAACAACAACAAAGAGAACAGCCTTTTTCCACTTCTCAGTGCGTACTCCCCAGAGTGGTGCCCGTCATTCATGTGATCTTCTGGGTAGTTCTAAAAGCTCTGAGTTTGTATCCCTGGCAAAGATGCCAGGGCAGTGTGTCCCCTGGTGAGCCTCTGGCTGAAGCACTGTCTACAGCAGGCACAGAGATAGGAGTACTTGCCTGTTAGGGCCAGCAGGAAGCATGAGAGGTATGTGTTGTTGTAGGGGCAGGTATACAGATCACTTCCTAGGGTACATTGGGCCAGACTGAAGGTTGTGGCAAAGTGTGACTACAGTTGGAACAGATGTGAGGATGGTGAGTGAGTGCTAAGTGTTGGGGCTGAGCACTAACTAAAAACCTGAGGGACACAGTCTTGGCTAGAAGTTCAGAGACCAGCTTAGTGTCTCTGACCCTAGGGACTCATGACATTTTCCCCAAAGACTTCTGTGCTTGCCCCTTCTCAATGTCTGGTTTTCCTGAGTGGTGCTCTGGCATGGGGGTGTGAACGCTGTGCTATTCATTCTTCCTCTAGGAAGAGTCCAGGCTCTCCAGAGAGCTTCCAGCATTACCCAGAGCTCAAATTTATCTCTGAGCACACAAGGATGTGTGCAAACACACACACACACACACCAGCATCAAGAATGTGTTCATGGTATTCCTCCTCCATGGAACACTTCACCTTCTAGCTCCACTCTGTCTTTCAGACATCTTCCTTCCTGGGACCTCTGAACACCTTGTTGGGGACCCCTGTTGTGTAAAGTAGCAGTCTCTCCATGTCCGGACAGCCTATGGGCTCAGCTTCATATGCAGAGACTCCTTTTATCAACAGGGTGTCTTCCTGGCATCTTCCTGACTCATCTTTTGAAGTAGCCATGGCCTCCGGCTCTGGAACTGCCAGCTTTTCCTGTGTGATTTTCAGGCAGTCTGACAGCCTGGCAGGAGCCCACTTCCATATGTAAATAGGGCATCTCACAAAGTACCTATCAGCTAAGGCTTTACCACTACCCCCACAGTATAAAGTATCCTGGTTTTCCCTCAATAATCGGAGTTGGATCACTAAGACTTGGAGCCGAGCTAAGTCACTGAATAAAGGGGCTGTACCACTGACTGAGCTGAGTTCTGTGTGTGATCCTGCCTCTCCAGAGAGAGCTGTCTCTTCCTAAACCGCGACTCACGGAAATCCAGCTTTCGACGTCTCCGCACCTTCCCACGCGATCCGGCAGCTGACAGATCTCGTATCTCGAGGAAGTGCATGGTGGATTGGAACGGAACCGGACCGGGCCAGCCCCGGTAGCAGAGAGCCTCAGCGACGCGAGAAGCAGGGACCTGCCAGCAACGCGGAGAGCCAGGGACCCAAACAGCAAAGCGGTGCGGACCCGCTGCACCCCAGGTGCCCGCAGGAGACCTGCGCCACGCCCAGCAGCTGGCGCTCCGAGATCCCTGCGCCCCCATAACACCTGGTGTTCCTCCTTCACCTAGAAGTTGAGGGCTGGCTTGAAGTCTATGAATACTTAAGAAGCACACTCATCGCTGAAGAAACTATGAAAAAAAGTTCTCAGAAAGAACTCCTGCATCTTGGACTGCATTTCCTGAAAGGCTCACCAACTGATAAGCACTCTGGAGATTGTAGAAAATCTGATATGTTGCAGATCTGGAGCCTATTCACAAATTATCTGGGGACATCTTTAACCCTATAAGCAGCCACACCTTGCCTACCTCTGTCTCTGAATTAACATTATGACTAATAAAATATATTAACTTGGCAGACCACCAGGTCTTACCAATCAAAAAGCTAAGAATGTCATCAGATAGCATGAGACCTATTGTAGAAAACTGCCCCCCCATTACCTGCCTAATGAATGTATCCACTGATGTATTTGAAGTGTCTTGACTTATGACTTTTCTTTGTTATGTTACTATAAAAATGTAAGGCAACTGTTACCATGCTGGAACATGGAATTTGGGGTAACCTGAATCTGTGTTCCGCAGCCATGGCCACTCATATTTGGCTCCAGAATAAACTATCTCTTATCCTCTTTGAGATGAGAATTGTGCTTTTGCAGTGACAAAACCTAGACTACTTGTGCCCTCTAATGAAAATACATCAGGCACCTCTTAAATGTCAGGATTGTTCTAGGTCTTGCATACATGCTTTACATCTATTCTAAGCTGAAGGAAAGATGGAGCAGGTATGAATTCCACTGGCACAAGTTTTCAGAAGACCTGGAGATAGACACAGATGATGGCTACTAACAGGTAGAGTGCCCAGTTCCTAGAGGCAGCATTTAAGTGTTGAGGGAGTTGCAACCCTCAACCCTCAAATTGGAGGTAGTCTAAACGGAGATTCTTTTCTGTGGGGAGAGATCCTTTGCCTACGTTGTCGCATACACTCAAGTTTCTGAACAAAGTCCTAAGTGTCCTGGAGTTTGGGAGGGGAGGCTCTGAGGAATTTCACTAAGGTTGATATGGTGGGGACCATAGCCAGGAATGTCAATTTACCCATCCCAACCACCACGGGCCCATTTCAGTAATGCAGACCAGCACCATCTCAGAGGCATGCACCATGTAACGCAGGCATCCAGAGCTCAAGGCCTTTGGTTCTTTCGCCTTCCTCGTCAGACCGAGCTTCCCAGGGACACGGGGCAGGAGCCAAAAATCCCCGGCTACACCCAGCAAGCAGACGAAGCGGTTGGCCCGGAGGGAAGGGGAGGAGCTTCGCCAAGCTTTGGGGACCGGAAGTGGCGATGGTGGGTCGGGGAAGAACAGCGGGAAGCGCGGTGCAAGAAAAGAAGCTGCTGTCTGAAAACAGGGAGACTGCATAGTGTCTTCTGATTTTAGAGAAAGGCATTTAATAGCTCGAGTATGTTCACATGTTGGTTCTGGGTTTGTCCACACTAGAATTTGTCCCCTGCTGCTGCTGTTGAAGGTTCCCTGGTAATTAGCGCCTCTTGCCCACAGTTAAGATGTCCGCAGCTGCTTCGGTTTCTGAGCTCAGTCCCAGTGGACAAAGCCTCCAGGGGGCTCTAGAAACCAAACGTGGCAAAATCTATGTGAGAACAAATGTAAAACAAAACAAGGAAACAAACAAACAAAACACCCTCAAACTTATCCACGATTTCTTTGATGAATCGATCTTTATCCATTGTCATCCTCCTATTTCCTGCTGTCTGATGCCTAGGCTCCTATCTAGTCACTTTGTACTTTTGGTGTCTTTACTCAGGTACACTTCCTAGAAGTCACCTCTGGGAGCAACAAAGACAAATCTAGAATTTCTAAATTAAAAGGGTCAAAGTTGTAATAAGCAGGAAGTGGGGGAAGAAATGAGAGAGGTTCTAAGTTCGAGGTCAGCATAGCTAATAAGGCCAGGCCCAGGTTTTGTTGTGTTTTGTTTTTTGTGTTTTGAGACAGGGTGTCCCTATAGCCCCAGCTGGCCTGGAACCCCTATGGAGACCAGGCTGGCCTCGATCTCACAGAGATCCCCCTGCCTCTGCCTTCTAAGTGGTGGGACTAAAGCCATAGGCCACCATGCCTGACTTCTTTTATTTTTTTCTTTTTTTAAGACAGAGTCTCACTCTATAGTCCAGGCTGAGCTGGAACTCACTGTGTAGCTCAAGCTAGCGCCAAACTCATGGCAATCTGCATGCCTTAGCCTCCTGAGTGTGCCACCATGTCTGGCCAGACCCTGGCTCTGTACCAAGGTGGACTGGGGCTACATGTGAGACCCTGTTTTAAAGAGGTCTGGACAGGCCCACTTTCCTGCTTTTTCTTTTTCTTATTCCTTATTGATTGTTTTAGCACCTTGCAAACCTAGTTTACAAGCTTGTTCATGTCACTCGGTCTTCCAGAGTCTCTCCTACCTTGTAAAAATTATGTTCTGCCATGATGTTCATCAAAGCTATTCAAGTCCCTTACCAGTTCCCAAGTTAACTTCCTTTTTACCTCTTGGGTGAGCGCAGTCCTAGCTGGGCACCACACACCACCTCTCTCATGCTCAGCTCCTTCACTAGCACCTCTGCCTCATTTTTTTTCCCCTCTTCACTGTCCAAGTTTTCCTGTGGGTTCCAAGTTTTTGGACCCCAGAAAGAGCTCTTTAGCACAGATCTAATTTTTACTCTTTCCCTTTTGACTCCCCAGCTGTAAGAAATGGCAAACCAGGGCTTTCATCTCATCTTCTCATTTATCCAATTTACCCATCAAATCAAAGTCACATGCAGAAGATAGCACCCACAAGTCTTTTTTTCCTTGAAATTTGTCCCTTACATGGGCAAGTTCTTTCTGGGCAGACAGCCGAGCCTCAGTTGCAGGTCCTGTCTCCCACAGCAGGGGCCTTGCAGCTTCTGCCAAAGCTCCTGACAGTCCTCTTCCAAATCTGCTACTTTCAGAGGCTGCAGTTGGAGGACTCTTCAGTCCTTCATCCATTCTCAGGATGCCCCTGGACTGTCTTGGTAGACCAAATTCATCAAAGAGGCATGCCACCCTGTTAGACTTAGAGGAACACAGCCCTACTGGCATTCCCCCATGGACTTCTCACTAAAACTTCCCCTCTGGGCAAATGACTTAGTCTTGGTTGCTTGTCTTGTCATCTATGGTGGGGGCAATGCAACGGCTATCACAGTACGCAGCCATCCACCATTCCATAAAGCATGGAGAATGACGGCCTCACAGAGACTCCCCTGCAGATGGTCCACCCTCAGACAGCCTAGCTTCTCTTGTATGTCTCATCACCCCTACTAGGAACAATGTAATTGCTCTTCCCAAACTTGATGGTATATTGGTGAGGATAGCTGCCTTCCAAACACATCTTTGGTTCTGTTGTGTCCCTGTTCCAGAGCCTAGCGTTGCATGAACTTTTCCTGGGGAGACTTAAACACCTGCGGCCCAGATAGGGTTTCAATGGCAGACCCAAGTAATGATTCCAACAAAGCCCAATTTGGTAAAACAATGAGTTTATTGGGCTGACTTACAAAGCATAGGCAAGGGGTCACTTTACAGGAGTATGGGACCTGTCCCCGGAAGCAGGGGCCTTGCAGCTTCTGTCAAAGCTCCTGACAGTCCTCTTCCAAATCTACTACTTTCAGAGGCTGACCCCAAAGCAGTCACACCACTGAAAAGCATCCTGCCAGCATGGATGATGATGTCCCCCATAGCTGCACAAATGGAGTCTTCCCTTCAGTTAGCCTTCCACCCTCTACAAGCTCTAGCACCTCCTGAGACCACCAGGCCACGTGGAATTAGGACAGAACTATATAATGTTTGCAGGGCCAGATGCTCATGAGGAGGAAGGGGCTGAGATTGCAAGTGAGGGTCGGTCATCTCTCACTCCCCTCCCTTCTAAAAGGGACTATCAGTAGGCACAATCTACAGGGTCTCTGGAGAACAGTCACAGCTGACTGATGAAGATGGCCATGGCTGTTATGCTCAGAGAGCAGCATTCTGTAAACCTTACCTTTTCAGAAAGCCAGTCATTTGTCAGAAAGAATTCAAATTCTTCCTACTTGGGACATTCCTGCTAAAGTACATAATGATTGTAACAATCCATTTTAATGGTCAAATGTTTAAATTATTTGTAAAAATTTGCTTATTGTCCAAAATTTTAATTGTGCTTATGATCTTAAATTCTCTGGATTGATGACTAAATAAACAAATGGCACTGTAAAACATTTAATTGTCAAAATTAATTAAATCCTTTGGCCTCTTTAAAGTCATCTCCATTAATTCCTCTAAATATAAAATCTATCACTTTTAAAAGGGGGAAGGGAGCAGTGAGATGGCTCAGCAGTAAAAGTGCTTGCCTTGCAAGTCTGGAGACAAGTTCAATTCCCAGAGCCTATCTAAAGGTGCAAGGAGGACAGACTTCACAAGTTGTCCTTTGACCTCCACATCTGTGCATGTGCACCTATATACACGCATCATGCACACACGCAGTAATAATAACATACTTTTGTTTGTTTGCTTGTTTGTTTGTTTGAGGCAGGGTCTCTCTGTAGCCTCAGCTGGTCTGTAACTTGCTATGCAGACTAGGCTGGTCTTGAGCTCACAGAGATCTATCTGCCTCTGCCTCTTGAGTGCTGGGGTTAAAGGTGTGTGTCTATACCAGGCTATAACACCCTTCTTGATCCTTTTATACTTAGATTTTAAATTTTTAAAAATATTTTTTAGTGTGTGTGCATGAGTTCAGGTGTCCACAGGGTCTAGGAGAAAGTATGGAATCCCCTGAAGCTGTACTTACAGATGGTTGTGAGCTGTCCAACCTGGGTGCTGGGAACCAAGCTTTGGTTCTCTGCAAGAGCAGTGTGTGCTCTCCCCAGCCCCTAAGATAATTTTTTAATTGTCTGAGATGTTTGGAATTTTCCTTAGTGTATTTTCCTAATAAAAATAATGCTGACCTTGGTTTTTAAATAAAACTACAAAAAGAATTGGATTATGTCCTTTCATTAATTGTGTTTTATTATGCTTGTTTGCTTACCCAGAACACCCACGTTACTTGAATCAAGTTTTCATGCTTAAAGAAGATTTAAGAGCTGGGGAGATGACTCAGTAGTTAAAGTACTTTCATAAAAGCATAAGGACATCAAGAACCACTGGAAAAACTGAGTGGTGGGCTGGCAAGATGGCTCAGTGAATTAAGGCACTTGCTACCAAGTCTGAGAACCTGAGTTTGATCCCTGGGAATCAAATAGTGGAAAGAAAGAATCAACTCATGCAAATTGTCCTCTGGCCTCCACATACACATATAGCACACATGTGCATGCACACACATAAAGAATAAAACCAGGTGTTAAAAAAACTCTGGCCTTTAATCCCAGCACTTCACTTGGGAGGCAGAGGCAGGCAGATCTCTGTAATTGAAGCTAGCCTAGGCACAGTGAGTTCCAAACCAACTAGGGATACAGGGAAACCCTGAGAGGGAGACTCTGGCCTCCACATACACATATAGCACACATGTGCATGCACACACATAAAGAATAAAACCAGGTGTTAAAAAAACTCTGGCCTTTAATCCCAGCACTTCACTTGGGAGGCAGAGGCAGGCAGATCTCTGTAATTGAAGCTAGCCTAGGCACAGTGAGTTCCAAACCAACTAGGGATACAGGGAAACCCTGAGAGGGAGAGAGAGGAGAGGGAGAGAGGGAGAGAGAGAGAGAGAGAGAGAGAGAGAGAGAGAGAGAGAGAGAGAGATGTTGGGGACCCCTGCTGTGAAGTCGTAGTCTCTCCATGTCCAGGTGGCCCACGGGCTCGGTTTCATATGCAGATGACTCCTTTCAGCAGAGTACCTGGCATCCTTCCTGACTCCTTTTGAAGTGCCCGCCACAAATGCTCTAAACATAAACATGGCCTCTGGCTCCAGGAATACCATGCCTTCCTGTGTGATTTTTCAGGTAGTCAGTAGTCTGGCAGAAACCCACTTCCATATGCAAATAGAATGCCTCACAAAGTATCTAACAGCCAAAGCTTTTACCACTACCCCCATGGTATAAATATCCTAGTCTTCTCTCAATATTAGGGGCTAGAAGTGGAGCTGGAACTAGAGCAGGATCACTGGGTCACTGAGACTTGGAATAAAGAGCTGTAGACTGAGTCTGTGTCTCCTGCCTGCAATCTAGTCTCCGCGGGGGGCAGCATTCCTCCATTACCGACTCACAGATCCCAGCTTCAGCCGCCCCGTACTTTCCCGCGTGGTCCAACGTCCGGTGGAACTCGCATATTGAGGAAAGTACACGGGTGAAATAAGGGCGGGACCCGGCTGGACAACACTCCAGCAGCAGAGACCCACAGAGACACGGAGAAGCCCGTGGGGCCAGACCCGCCATCCTCCAGGCGCATGGCGGAGAAGCCCGCGGACCCGACGTGCCATTCCGGGAGTGTGCGCAGGGACCTGGAGAGCCCAGCGTGCTCACCATACCTGGTGCCCAACGTGGGGCCTCTGAACCTCGTGCCAGCTAGGAGCTGGTGCCCACGGAAACGCTGGATTCGTGAGTATCCCTCCCCCTCAGGAGAGTAACAAAAATCTCTTCTAAATTTCCTCCTTTTCTTTCCAGTCTGAAGTTCTCGCATGGGACCGCTAGGAACAAAGAGACAACTGACGCTTCCTGGCCAGGGCTACCCCCTGGAGTTAGCTGAAGGTCTCTCTGATCCCCTAACGGACCCCGACTGCCTGTACAGGTGTGGACAAAAGACCTCTATCTAGACATCTCTTTAATATCAAAACCTGGTAACGCATCAGCCAGTTAAAAGCCACAGGGCGGCCGCCAGCCCCTCAAATTTGCAGGAAGGTCTTGTGACTGGGAACCACTGGGATCCCCTGAAATTTTAATTTCAGGCACGTCCCCTTGGGAACCATCACTTCACCCCACTTTTCTATCTGAACACTGCTAGAAAATCCCTAAAGTTCTAAGCTTTAGAGTCAGGCAGACCACTCTAGTCAGCTCTGTCAGCCTGCCCTCAGGCATTCAAGCCACAGCTAAAACCAGTTCAGTGAAAATTTAAATTAACTAACCCCTGCCGAGCACCTACAGCTCAAAAGCGGCTTCCAGACAAAAGATTTAAAACTACAACTTTTTTTTCTGCAAACCTAGAGGCTTATCACTTGCCAAGGCGCTTCAGCCCTCTAGTGTCTAACTGCTGTAAAAACATATTCCCTTTACAATGGGAAATTCTGCATCACGCCAAAAAAAGCACCAAATTCATTCTCTTAAAACCCTGCTCAAATCTAGAGAACTTAAAATTTCAAAAGAAGAAAGCTTAAAATTTTGGAATGAGGTGTATCAATTTGCACCCTGGATCTTATCAGCAGACATATATGATCCTGAGGTGTGGAACTTTCTTTCACATTTAGCATATAAGAAAGAAAGCCAAGAAAAGCATAATTTTCCTCTCTCTTTCTTCCCAATAATGGCAGCCATCCAGCAATGCTTAAAAAACCCACCTAAAATTGAAGAAAGCTTACAAACACCAGAGAATAATAAAAGAGAGGTTTTAAGTGATTAAAAAAAAAAAAACCCTGCAGACTGCCCAGTAACAGATTCAACAGAAGTCAGACAGAAACCACCCATCAGCAAAATTAATCCTCACCCCTCTCTTGCTGGTCTAACAAGCCCAGATACTAAAGCCCAAATTTCAAAAGCTACCAAAGATTCTCAGGTAAAATCCCCTCCCCCTCCACCTCGGCTGCCTTCCCCACCTGTGGAGACACGCCTTACAGCCACAGAGCAGCTGTGTAACCTTAGAGACAGTGAAAGCTGCCAGCCTCAAAATTTCCAGCCTCAGCGGTCTCAGGACCCCCAAAACCCACCGGTAGAGGCTTTTCCTGTCAACTTGCAAATAACCAGACAATGCTCCCTAGCCTGGTACCCACTCCCAGCTGCCAAACTTAAAGAATTGTGCCAGGCTGTGCATGAAGATGGCATTCATGCTCCTTGGACTAAATTTACATTACAAACATTTAATACTAACCTGCTTCCCCAGGATTGGAGAGACATTTGTAGATCTACCCTCCCCAGTCCATTATTTGTACAATGGGAAGCCTTATTTAGAGATGAATGCCTAATTCAAACTAAAAGGAATGAAACTCATAATCAGCAGCTACGACCTCAACCAGGGCAGGATCAGGCACCTGGATTTATAGATTGGAATTATGACCAGCTTTTTGGCCAGGGTAATTTCTCCACAGGAATTCAGCAAGCTGCAATTCCAGCTGGTTGTATAGAATAGGTTCGCCTATGTGCCCTGCAAGCTTGGGACCACTTAACAACATTGTTTGTCCACTGGGCCTGGAGAGACCTCTTCATTAACCTTTTTAAAGCAGAAGCCAACTGAGGCTCTCCCAAATTTTATACTAAGAGTGCAAGCAAGCTTGGATAGAAAAATAACAGATCCTGCAGCCAAAGCAATGCTTTTAAACAGCCTTGTCTGGGAAGGGATGACCCCTGAGCACAGACAAGCATGCCAGGGACTAAAGAATGAACATTATGACAAGTGGATTGTAGCCACCCATGACATTGGGACTGCCAAGTACCAAGCCTCCTCCCTTGCCCAAGCCCTTGCAGTTGCAACTCAGTCCAACTCAAAATGCTTTAAATG